GCACATACACACTTATATAAATAAAGACAAAATAGATCTTAACAAAAAAAATAATACAAGCGCAAAACTTCAGAGCCTCCCATTGCTCCAGAATGGCTAAGCATCAAAAGAAAACAGCAATAATAATAATGGTTTATAATGAGGAAAATAGTATTCATTACCTAAATTAGTCATTCACTCATAATTAACTAAAATTTGATCATTAGCAAATACTAAGTTCTTCTTTCCAGTATAATGGCTGTTAATAAATCATAGTGCAGTTTTCAGTACACCAAAGACACAGAAAGAACAGCAGGTGACTTTCAAAGGGACAATGACTAGTAGTGAGAACAGAACATCACCACCAACCAACACAGTGACAATTACTCAGACAAAACTCACCAGCAGATGCTAATTCTGAAGGGGGATTCTAATGGCTGATAAAGTGTCCTCAATAATCTCAGATTCTCTCTGTCTGGGATATTGATTAACCATCTACTGATCAATAACTTCACCACTGTTTATCAGCTACATGACAGAGAAGTCTGCAGACACCATCTTCAGTGATGAAACGATTAGTATGCCCAATAGTGGAATGCACCACCGACACAAGCTTCCAGACAAGCTGCACTAAAAAGATCCAGCCTCACAGCAGTGGTATTACTTATAAAAATGCATCTCTGGATTCAGCCATGAGGAAACACCAGACAGACAGACAGACATTGGGAGACCCTGCATACTCCTGGCTGGTGTGTGTTATGACCCCAATACTGCAGAGACAGAAGGAGGAAGGTTTTGAGTTTGAGGCCAGCCTGGATTACACCATAAGATCATATATATATACATATATATGTATATATATGTGTGTGATATATATACACACACATATATATATATATTACAAAACCCCAAGATATATACCAAGAAAACACTAAAGAAAAATGGCCTTTAACTTGTAACAAATTAACCATGAAGCTAGTATCGTAGTTTGTTTCTCTGTTGCTGTGACAAACACCAAGACCAAAGCAACACGAGGGAAGAAAAGAGCTTACTTGCTCTACGGTTTTCACCATCGAGGGATGCTAGGACAGGCGTTCAAGCAGGGACCTGGAACAAGAACAGAAGCAGAGAGCCCAGGGGAAGCTGCTCACTGGCTCTCATGGCTTGCCCAGTCTGCTTTCTTCTAGAACCCAGGACCACCTGCCCAAGGTTAACCAAGAAAATGTCCCACAGACCTACCCACAGGCCAATCTGATAGAGGCAAGTCCCCAGTTAAGGTTCTCTTTTCCCAGATGACATAAGTTTACTTCAAGTTGAGAAGAAAAAAAACTATCACAGGAAGTAAGTAGACGCATGCCCCTGGACATAAGAGCTTACCAACCACACTGGCAATATGGCACAGCAGAAAGATATAGCCAGTAACAAAGCTAAAACACAGAGTGCAGAAATCAGTGGAACAAAAAAAGGAAACAAACACCTACTCTCACAGAGGCTCAGTTTCCTCCCTCATTAGCAAATGGACAAAGCAAATGGGCCAGGGAATGCAGACCACTCAAAGCACTGGGTGACCCTGATTGTGCCCTGACCTGGGAAGGACATTGTTGGCACAGTTAATGGTCTCAAGGATTTGTGATTTAACCCATTTATGTTAATTTTGTGATTCTGGGAGCTGAGCCTTGTGTATAAAAGAAAAAACACACCACAGTATCAATGGTAATGAGCCATCATATGTGAAATCTATTCTCACTCCAAGTACTGCCAACCAATTGAAAGCAACCAATCAGGGTTAGCCATCTTTTCTATTCTCTACCCTCCATTACCCTAAAGCTCTTGCCCACCTCCATTTTCTTACTATAATGATTGGATTTCCTGATGCCAAATCATATGGGGATTGAATGTGACTTTCCAAACATTCAAGGTGGATTTGCTGCTGTGTGCTGGTGCAGAAATGAGGAAGGAAAGCTGAATGCCGAGGAGGGAGCCGTCCCTGAGAACCAGGCCCTCCCCCTGACTCTCACTTTGTGAATCGCCTCTTGCCGGAAGTCCTTAGGCTTCCTTCCGCTCAGAACAGCACATCGCTATGAGGCTACATTGCCCTGTACAGTGTAACTCTCCACACCAGCTGCGGTGTTTTTTCACCAGAAGGAAACCATTAACCACTTCAGAAGCTACAGCCAACCAGCTCTGTCATCCCACAAGGGATTTCTGTGGCCAATGTCATCTTCCTCCTGCGGAAAGCAGGGTCATAGGACTAATATCAGAAGAGGGGTTCTGTACCCTGCACAGTCGCACAGGTGGAGAGGCCAGCACCAGCAGGCATTAGTTCTCCATAAAAACTATCAGTATCATCCAAATGCACCATGAATTTCCCAAATCAAGACAAGAACAAATGTGTTCAAGGCGCTACACTTTTTCTGTTTTACTAGTTTATAAACAATCATGACTTAAGATGTTTAAAACAAAAACAAAACCAGTGTAACTGTGTTGCCAACACAAGGAATACCAATGAGATTTTGTCATGCTCCCCACAGACTGGCCTTGTGTCTTCTTGGATATTTTTTCCTCTTTGTTTTATGAATTATGCATTCCTTTGACATCAAAGAGATGCCCAGCAATGATGCTCCTCTCACCTTGCGGGCTTATGCATCTGCTTATGCATGCACATTGCATTATGTGACTCTTGTATATGCACAGCTGTCCCAGAAGGTACGGAGAACCGAAGAACCAATCTCTTGGGAAGAGACACTGGGAGGAGCTGACAGGGAGATGTCCTCTTTACTTTAAGCCCTTTAGCAACTTTGGGATTTTGTACCAATGGGTCCCAAATGTGTATCTCACATATAAAAATCAAAATTAAATTAACATTTAAGACTTGTTTTCGTTTCACAAATGTTACCTAGATGCTTTCCCCACTTCACTGTCTTACCATACGTATTTCAAATCCGGCATCTGGAACGGAGCAGATACCAGGAAAGACCACTGCTTCCTGACTGCTTCCAGCTCACAGTCAGCCACCTTCCTCATACAACCCAGGCCCATCTGCTAAGGGATGGTGCTACCCACAGTGGGCTGGACCCTCCCACATCAACCAGCAATCAGAAAATGATTCCACCAAGTCTAGATTAGGGAATGGATGAGTTTATTGAGGTTACTTACAGAAGCTCAGAAGGCTCAAGGTGAGACACATTGCTGAAAAGCCCAGCCCACCCTGGGTAACCATTCGTGGAAGCTGCATCCCCAGAGCTCCCTCCCTGCCTGCTGGTGACTCCATTGAAAAGCCTCCTCCCTCTGCAACGGTGACTGCCCTCATAACCCTGGGGAGGGTGCTTGTGAGTCCTGTAACTTTAAGCCTGTGGGTATGAAGTCTGCAATCCACAATCTAATCAGACAGAAAGAGCCCCCCAACCCCCACAAAAAATGCTGGCAACGACTGCAGTCAGAAAATACAGAAAGGGGCAAGGGGGTATGCCAAATGGAAAAGCCAAGAGCTTCGGTGGGTGGAGAGAAGGTTAGTGGCTTGTTCTGAAGTGCTTGTTCTGAAGCAGGGCCACCTGAGGTTCATCTCCTAGAGCCCATAGAAAAGAAAGCCAGAGGTGACATTGTGTGCTTGTAACTCAACCCTGGGGAGATGGAGGCATAAGGGCTGCTGCCAGCCTGTCTAGCCAAATCAGTGACCTCCATGTCTGGGAAAAGACCGGTCTCAACAATAGGGTGGGAAATAATTGAGAAAGACGTCTGAGAAAGGTATGTGATGTCAGACTCTGGCCTGCGTGTATGTGTGTGTGTGTGTGTGTGTGTGTGTGAGAGAGAGAGAGAGAGAGAGAGAGAGAGAGAGAGAGGAAAGAAGGAAGAAAGAAAAAGAAGGAGCTTCAAAAGGTTGGCATGCCTGTTGCTCTGGGCGTAGAGGACGTTTCTGAAAGCATCCCCGTGCAGAAGCATCTCTTTGTTAAGGGAGTCTCCAAGGTGCATTAGGAGAACCAGGGTAAAATCCAACACAGTCAAGCAGGAGGAACCTCCAGGTGCATGGCTGTGAAGAGCACACCTCAATGAAAGCAGCATCCCAGGCCCAAGCCCAGGGGCCAGGAGCTCATATAGGCTGAAGAGGAGCCCAGACAGCCATAGCCCTGACTCCCGTCAATCCCAGCTCAGGCTGTCAGAGCTTCTGGCCCCAGATCTTATGTTTCCCTCCTTAACCTGTCCCCCTGCTTCTACCCTGGTCCCCTACTGTGTTCTCAACAAGGTGTCTAGAAGGATCCATTAAGATCCTAAATCCCATCTCACGCACCCCCATCCCTTATCCCCCACAAAGCCTTGTATTCCTCAAAGAAACGTCAAGTGCTAAGTCTTGTCAATGACCTCGCAAGCCCTGTGTTCTGACTCCTTCCTGCCCTCCACTCTGACCTCTGCCCCATACTCACTTCTCACTTGCCTCCGGCTACACTGGTCTTTCTGCTGTCCCTCCTACTCACCAGGAACCCTCCTGCCTCAGGACATTTGCACTGGCAACCGGCCCCGCCCCTCCAAGCAGCCCTGCAGCTCGCCACCTCACTTGATCGGGGCATTTGTTCAATGCCACCTTTGCAGCGGGCCAACCTGCCCACCTCATCTAAAGTTGCTGCTCCCTCCAGCTCTGTCCTCTGGACCCCTGGCCCTACTCTGTGGTCCTGCTTCCCACCCTCTTCACCTCCTTTGACTGTGCTGTGCATTCGCTTTATTTACTGGGATTTTTGTGTCCTCGCCCTGGAGAGGCTATTCGCTCTCCAAAAGCAGTGACGACAGCGTTTGCCATCGTTATTGTTTGGAAGGGCAGGGCCAGTTGCCAGTGCAAATGTCCTGAGGCAGGAGGGTCCCTGGCGGGTAGGAGGGACAGCAGAAAGACCAGTGTAGCCGGAGGGAAGTGAGAAGTGAGTATGGGGCAGAGGTCAGAGTAGAGGGCAGGAAGGAGTCACAGGGATGAATTCAAGTTCTTGGTCACAGTCTGGGGCAAAACTAACATTCTATAGACATGTGGTAACAGTCTAAGACAAAATGAACATTCTATAGAATGTGGTAACAATTTGGGACAAAATGAACATCTATAGAATGTGATAACAATTGGGACAAAACGAACATTCTATTGATACGTGGTAACAGTCTGGAATGAAATTGATATTCTACAGACACATGGCAACAGTCTGGAATAAAACGAACATTCTATATACACATGGTAAAGGGAAGAATGGAATGCCATAGTCAGGCGTGGCAGACAAGGAAATGTGTTTCCATCGACGTCAACTCCCTTTCAGCACGTGACGAGGCAGAGCCTCATTACAGCTGCTTGCTCCACCAGCCTGTTATAAGAGTGGAAATATACCTGTCACATCTATCGGGTGTTAGGAAGAAGCGAAGAAAAGGGCCGCACCAGAATGAGAAATGCTCCGAAAACTAATTGTTGTTAGGGGCATCCTGTCTTCCATCTTACAGCAGCAGTGGGGAGGGATCCACAGAATGCTCTGTGGCTTACAGGGAACCTAAACACACTCATCTTCTCACGTCGTCTCTGGATGAATTGTGTGTTTGTGTCGTATGCACACATCACATAATAAGATGGAATTGGAGAGGCCAAGGATACCCAATTGGCAACGGCTTAGATGGAAAGAAAGCATTGTCCCAAAAGTGCCTCGCAATATGCACCTGCCTCACCAAAACCATCACGGGTGTGTGAATACTGAACAGATCGAGGTCTTCAGAGAATGTCTTGGTATGTATTCCATTGCCGTCAGTGTTCTCTACCTGTCACAATAACATACATACATACACACACACACACACACACACACATGCACACACACACACACAAGAATCCACTCTATGCAGTTATGTGATTCAGTGGATCATAAAACACCACCTAGGAGATAGGATGCTGCAGGCCTGGGGAGATGGCTCAGTGGGTAAGGCACTTGCTGTGTAAGCATGAGGAACTGAGTTCAGATCCTTAGCGCCCTTGTAGAAGCCAGGTAAAGGTCTGCATCGGTGACTGCAGTGCTGTGGGGGCGGAGAAGGTGGGTCCCAGGACTCACTGGCCAGCCAGCGTTGCCAAAGCAGGAACCCCAGGCTCAGTGAGTGACTCTGTCTCAAAAAGTGAGGTGGAGAGCCATAAAGGAAGATACCCAACATTGACCTCTGACCTCTTCACGTATCTACATATATAGATGGATACAAATACACATACAAATTAATACAAAATAAAATATGAATAAAGTGGAAAAACTTAAAGTACCAAATATGGGCAAGGTCCTGGGAACCCCATGTTATGGTGAAAAGAAGTGTTAAGGCTAAAATACAGAGGAAGGTAAATAAGAATGCTTGCAGCTGCCAGCTAAAAATAGCAGGACTTGGGAAAGATGCTCTTACAGATGCTGACTGGTACTGTGAAGTACCTCCACCCTCCCTAGACCCACCCTCCCATAGCCCCACCCTCCCATAGCCCCACCCCCACCTCCCACTCAGGAACACACATTCTTTCTCTTCCTGATAATGGATCTAGTGACAAATTTGAAGCTTTGGACCTACAAGCTACTCTCTCTCTCTCTCTCTCTCTCTCTCTCTCTCTCTCTCTGTGTGTGTGTGTGTGTGTGTGTGTGTGTGTGTTGTACATGCCCATTTGCCCATACAGGGCTTTATCCATGTGCATTCACACGCTCTGGAAATTCTTTTGAAGGCCATGCAATTTTTAAAAATCAGACTCTGTGCTTTAACTTGCTTTCTTTCAAATAATAGCTGTGCCTTCAATCTTCCACAATCTCAGACACACAAGGGATGAGAGAATCTGAATATTGCATAATTGCACACCTGTGTTACTGCTTACCACACACAGACACACACTGGCACCTGCAGCTACAATCATTAAAAGCAACACGCACTCTGGTCATTTTTCAGTGTTGGACCGTATCTTTTTTCCCTCATCTCTGTGTGGTCTATATGTGTGTTTGTGTGTGTTTACATGTGTGCCTGCACATGTAGGCCAGGGTTCATGTGTACTTGTGTGCATATACATGTGGAGGCCTAACATTGACAATGGGTAACTTCCTCCATCACATACTCTCAACCTTCTGTGTTAAAGCAAGGTCTCTTGTTAAACCCCAAACTTAACGTTTCCACCAGTACAGCTCTGTGGTTTTCCTGTCTCTGCTTCCAGCACAGGGAGTATAGAGGGGCCACCACCACCACACACACTCTCCCTGTCTCTGTCTCTCTCTGTCTCTGTCTCTCTCTGTCTCTCTCTGTCTCTGTCTCTGTCTCTCTCTGTCTCTGTCTCTCTCTGTCTCTGTCTCTCTCTGTCTCTGTCTCTCTCTGTCTCTGTCTCTCTCTGTCTCTGTCTCTCTCTGTCTCTCTCTGTCTCTGTCTCTCCCTGTCTCTGTCTCTCTCTGTCTCTGTCTCTCTCTGTCTCTCTCTGTCTCTGTCTCTCCCTGTCTCTGTCTCTCTCTGTCTCTCTCTGTCTCTGTCTCTCTCTGTCTCTCTCTGTCTCTGTCTCTCTCTGTCTCTCTCTGTCTCTGTCTCTCTCTGTCTCTCTCTGTCTCTGTCTCTCTCTGTCTCTGTCTCTCTCTGTCTCTGTCTCTCTCTGTCTCTGTCTCTCTCTCTGTCTCTGTCTCTGTCTCTCTCTCTCTCTCTCCCTCTCTCTCTCTCACACACACACACACACACACACACCTTTTTATCCGAGTGCGGGATCCGAACCCCAGTACTGAGGCTTGTGCGGCAAGCACTCTACCACACCACTACCCCTCCACAGTAAGATGGCACACGTGCTCCTCCTCGGGGCCCCCATAGCCTGCATTCTGCAGCTTGCTGCAGTCCTCTGGCTGGTCACTTCAGTGAGCAGCAGGCTGCTTAGTGAGCACTGTCTCAGGAAAATCTCTCCGGACATCTCGGAACTCTACACGGAAGACAGTTTCTTGCGCCCTTTGGCACCTGACAGTTTTATTGGGTGTAGCGCCTGTATTTCCATTTCTGAATATATTAAACGTGCCACTCACTCCGATACCTTCAGGAACAAAGCAACCTGGTCAGAAGTGTGCCGACAAGGCAGTTTATTTCCTCCTTCTGCCAGGTGCTCTTCCCGCCCGTGGGATCAAGATGGCATCCCCCTTTTGTGTGACATCCACTTGTCTTGTTAGAACAGGGACAGTCTAAGCCATGCAATCAGTCCTTCAAATGTCTGTTTTACATTTCCTTTGAAGTGCGATTTTCAGACCTGGGTTCCTGGGGTATCTTTTTTGGATGCTCCTACAATCCACATTCTGGGCCCTCTTTACCGGTCTCCAGGATCTGCCATGTTCCCGTGAGCATTTCCCATCCCTCCATTTCATGTTTATGTAAAAGGCCCCCACACCCTCCCTTTCTCTTGACCTCTGACTTCTGTTGATTTGCTATTATTTTCCTTCTAGCCTGAGCTCTGGTGAGATGGCATTTCTTTCGTATTTCCAATTCATGAGTTCTGCCGGCCCATTCTGAGTTTTCCTCATTTGTATTGTGTACAACTATTTACATGTTTTTAGCTCATTTTTGAAAAGGCATGTTGTAGCTTTGATCTCCTTATTTTTAGCATGCTTTTCTAGGGACATTATCCTGCTGCTTATTCACAGAGGTTACTATAGAAACTACATATAAAATTCAGTTTTGGTGATTTTTCTATTGCTCATCCTTGTGTGAATCCAGCTAACCTGAAGCTTTGAATTGTTATTATAGTGCTGCCCTGGTCTACTTTATATTGCTACAAGGGGAATGTTCAACAGTGGCTACCATATGAATAAAGGAAATTCATTTCACTCATGACTCTGGAGAGCCAAGAGCATTGTGTCCCCATCTGCTTGGCTCCATGAAGGCCTCTGGCTATATTACTACATGGCAGATGGCATCGTGGGAGTGTAAGTGATGTGTGAGTGGGAACAATGGTGCACTGGGTGGAGAAGAAAGACTTTTAAACAACCTGCTCTCCTGGGAGCCAGACAGTGTCTCCTCAATACTACATTAACCCCAATGACCTAATAATTTTCCTCTATGTTCCACCTTTAAAGGTTCTACCAGCACGCTGGGGCCTGCACTTTCAGCTTAAGAACCTTTAAGAAACACCTTCAAACCATATCTAACCCATAGTAATAAACACACACACACACACACACACACACACACACACACACACACACACTGGCACACACATACATTTTGCTTTCAGAGATTTTCCTGGCTTTGTTTTCTTGCTTTGCTCTCATTTAAATTATTTTTGTGATCGTCTTGAGGCATTTGAATACTTGGTTCCAGTTGGTGGCACTACTTGGGGATGTTTAGGAGGTGTGGCCCTGCTGAAGGAAGTACAGTAATTACCAGGAAGTTGGCTTTGAGAGAGCAAAGCCTGACCTTACTTCTAGTTCGCTCTCTGCAAAGTTCTCAGCTTCCTCCTCCAGTCACCATGCCTGCTACTTGCTGTCACGGTGCCCTGCCATCGTGGGCCCTTATCCCCCTAGAACTATGAGCAAAAATTTAACTCTTTCTTCCGTAAGTCGTGTTTGGTCCTGGTGTTTTGTCTCAGCAACATTGCATTGCTGTGACCAGACAGAAATAACTTAAAGGAAGAATGACTTACTTTGAAATCTCAGGGTTTTAGACAGTCACAGTTCATCATGGCAGAGAAGGCAAGACAGCAGGGTGATCCACACATGACAGAGGTCGAGTATGGTGGAATGTATACACACCATGCAGTGGGAGGCAGAGGATGAGGGAACAAAACCAGGTGTGAGCATCATCTTCAAAGGTTCACAGCCTGTGACCCATCTCTGTCAGCTGGACTCCAACTCCTAAGTTCCCACCACCTTCAAAACAGAACCATAATCAGGGGACTAAGAATTCAAAACACAGACTCAAGAAAGATAATCCAGAATAAACTATAGCATTCAGTACCTGGCCACCAAGGGATTATGACCATCTGATAGTGCAAACTGCATTCTGTCTACCTTCTTAATACTGTTCACGTTGTTCAAAAAGTCTACAGAGCAAAGTCTCCCCCAAGATTCAAGGCAACCCGTGAGCCTATGTAAAATCAAAAGAAAGTTGTATATTTTCAATGGCACTGGATAAACATTCCATCCCAAAGGGGAGAAACTGCACAAGCAAAGAAAGATAGAATTACAGCAAGACGCAAACCCAGCAGGGAAAACATTAAGGCCTGTAGCTCAATGCTGTCATCCAAGGCACATGGTGGCATGGTATGAGCATGCTTTCAGCCCTGTTCCTGTGGCCCTGCCATTATTGCACATATAACCTCTCTTGAGCAGACTTCTCTCTTTGCATACTGTAGGGTGAAACTTAGTACTCCGCCATTAGCCATGCGGCATTTTAGAGGCACATACAGATGAGGTAATAAAAGGGTGGTTTACCACACCGCTAACCACACCCACTTTAGGCATGACTAAAGACGTATACGGACGTGGGTGGTGAACTATGTCACTAGCCAGACCCACTTTTGGGTATGGCTAGGGGCGTGTATGGAGGAAGGAATAAAATACTGAGCAGCAGAACATCTCGCCCTCTTTTCAGCTTTCAGTTTGGTGGTGAAAGGCTTGACTCATCTGGGTTGCTCGTTTCTCTCTTGTTAGTAATTTCTACAATGAACAGTTACCTATACCCTCAAGTATACACATTTCCTCAGCAGACAGTCCACATTCTTTACATTTCTAACAATCCAGGGTTTCAGCTGCAACTGAGGTTTCTCCACAGCTTCATGAATTGCCCTGCTAAGAATGCTACACATGGAACCTGACACTGACACACATCACCTGATTTCATGCCGTTCTAGAATCTTGATGTAAGCCTCCATGACCCCATAGCTCTTACATTTGCATGTCTGGAAAACCAGGACTGCATGGGTCATTCTGTGACCTACTCCAAGACCTTGATGTATTCTATCCCTAAGACTGTGGCTCCAAGTGGTCTCTGAGCCCTTGCCTTGCTGAGTCTGGGAAAATGCTTTCTTAGGCAGTCTTGTTCGAGCAAGGTGCCCTGGGAGCTTTCTCTTTTTAGGTGCTCTCTTTCCAAATGGAAGAAGAATAATTCCAGCTTCAGAAACATGAGAGAGTACCAGTGAGCGGCATTCGGACATAACTCCTTGGTTCAGTGACTGTTCATGGTGGAGTTGACTGTTCTCCAGGTGTATGTATTAGTCAGTGTTCTCTAATGGAACTTATAGGATATAAGAGAGAGAGAGAGAGAGAGTGTGTGTGTGTGTGTGTGTGTGTGTGTGTTATGAGAATGACTTATAGGCTGAGGTCCAGCTAATCCATCAATGACTGGCTGTGAACAGAAAGTTCAAGAATCCAGTAGTTTCTCAGTCAACAATGCTGAATGTCTCAGCTGGTGTTCTGGAATCCCAAGAAGTAAGATCTAATGCCAGGTGAAGGCAAACAGGCAAAGAGCAAAAGCTTCCTTCTTCCATGTCCTTATATAGACTTCCAGCAGAAGGTGTGGCCCAGGTTGAAGGTTTGTCTTCCCGCCTCAAGATCTGGATTAAAAGGCACGTGAGTCTTTCTGTCTCAAAGGTCTGGATTAGAAGTGGATCTTCGTACTTCAAGTTAAGCAAACATCCAGCACAGGTATGTTCTCCATTTTGGGTTTCTAGTGAATTACACATGCAGTCAAGTTGACAACCAGCTATCATGGAGGTGACTGTGATCTGGGTATCATGAAGTTGGCCATTCTCCAGGCATCTCAGCTCTATCCTCCAGGCCCCACAGAATTCAGAATTCCCCTTCCTTCAGGCTGAAGTGAAGTTCATTTGAAACACAGCATGCTTGCGGATTTGATTTATCCCATTGCCATCTAGACTCATATTAAGTAAGTTATGTTAATTATCCCTGAACAGAATTTCAGAGCACAGAGAGAATGGCAATGTTTTATTATCGGAGAGGAAAGAATCGGGACAAGGTTTTAAAATATCAAATTAGTGATTAAGTAAACGAACAGAGTCTTAGGATTCCAGAAATAGCCTGAGCAGACAGAGTTCTCTTTGGATCTCTGTGCTTTTACATTGTACTTTCTTTAAGCTGAGCTCTTTATGCTGGAGAACGCCGGTCCTTGTTCAAGCATGCCACAGCCAGCCCCTGCAGAGTTTGTTTTACTGAATAGCCTTAGCCTTTCCTCCAGGACCTGAGAGCATTGGGAACCACTTTTTCCAAGTCCTCCAGGGTGTTAAGGTTCACCCAAAGCAGAGACTCCTCATGGAGGGAGCTATACAGACACCTGCTGTTCTCCACAGAAGGATGGCACATGGCCTCAATTCAGTGGTCCTGTCTCCCACCTTTCATTCCAGCTCTACAGTAGAGGCACCTTCTCCACCCTGCCCAAGAACTCTGAGCAGTCTCTACATGTCTTCTCTCATAAACAACTAAATGGGGCTGCCCTGCAGCCAGGATTATTACACAGCCCAGATGTGGAGAAGACAGAGTCTGGGAGTCCATTCTTAGGTGTCACTCATATCCTCATCAGCCGAGATTGGCATAACATAGTTGCACAGATGGGGTGGCTGAAAACAAATGAATGCTCATTGTGTATCAGTTCTGGATGCCAAAGTCTGAGAGCACAGTATCACAGGGATGGCTTCTTCTAAGAGAGCAAGGGAAGGAAGGGTGTGTTGCAGGCCTCTATTTTTGGTTTATAGAAAGTTGTCTCTTCTTTTGTTCATCCTTCCACCCATCTTCCTACCTATTTAGTGCTGCGTCCGCTGCTCAGCCTGTGTCCGAGACTGTGCGGAGGGTGTCGGGGGATTGATGACACAGACCAGAAGGCTCCTCAAGAAGGCTCTCCTTTATTCCTACTCTGGCTGGAATAAAGGGTAATATATACCCTGACACCAGAGGTGGAGGTGGGTGGGTCTGAAAAGGCAGTTAGTCTTTGGACAAGGTCGAGGTCAGGGCAGTTCCTGTGGGCCAGCCCTTTTCAGGAACTTATTGCCCCGGGGACTGTATTGTTTTTAGTAAACATGTTTTTAGTAAACATTGTCTTACAGCTGCCTACGCCCAGGCTGATGGGGAAGTGGGTCTCTGCTCAAGGTCTGGTGTTCCCACAATTTAGATATTCACTTATCCACCCAGGTGGATTGATCCATTCATAATACATCTTTCATATATCCTTTCTATAACTATTTCTTGAGGACCCAGTCAGTATCTACAAGGTATCATCCTAAATGCTAGACACACATGATTAAGAGAAATGCTCTACTGTGAGGATGCTTACACTCTCAGAGGTTAAGATAAAAGTATACACAGAGAGTTGTTCTGTGTGATAAGTGCTGAGTTATAAGTGTGGAGATGAGTGCATTGGGAAAGACCTAACACTAGCTACACTTAGCTGCATGGTTATTATGTGGTATACTTTACACAGATTATCTCGCTGAGTCGTCACAGCAGTCCTGTGATGTGTGTATGATCATCACTATCCTCCTCGTCTTACGGATGAGACATCCAGCAGCAGTATCAAGCCAGGGCTTGATCCCAGGAGGTACCTGAGGGAGAAGAAGCCAAGCACTGGGAGGGAGCAGGGCACAGGTAAGATGGTGGGGAGAACTCTTCCTAGCTTCACTACTGGGACCAACCCTGATCCCCAAAGTTCATCCAGATAGATACCCATCTTCTGTCTTCTGTTCAAAGGTGCTGAGATGATTGATCTGCCAAAGGCTGATTTTATGCCATTCACACATCCCATGCTAATTAGACATCGAAAAGCAATGAGCCCCAGAGTTTGTAAGACACTGTGTCTGAGGGAAGAAAATTTCCTTGTTCCAGGTTAGTGGAATTCCAGACTTATTGCTTGGCAAAACCATGTACTTTCAGAGCAGGCACTGACCCAGGGTAAGGCCATGATGTCCCATGCTGTAAATGTGTCATGCCAATCAAACTGGCTTCTGAGGCTCTGGCCCCACATTTCTACAGTTTGTAACCTGTTCCTAAGATTACAAATGTCTTTCCAAAATGCAATATAGGTGGATGGAATGATGGATGGATGGATGGATGGACGAAAAATGTATGGATAATGGAAGGATGGATGGTTGATGGATAGGTAGGCAGATGGATAAAGAGATTAAAGTTGGATAGATTGATAGGTGGATGGATGAATGGATTAATGGACTGAGGAATGGGCAGATAATGAATTTACATTTCAACACTGGGACCATCAAGAGCTTTGTCATATCTTTTAGGCTGAAAATTCTCAGATTTAGTTTGGTCCCAATACTAATCACCTACAAATGTCTAAAGATTACAGAAAGTCTTTGAAAGTTAATATATTAGTCAATATTGAGCTTTAGAAAGTTATTGCTGCATGACCTTCTATACTGATGTAGTATCTTTTACAGGATCATTTGAGAAACCCTTAGACAGGTGTGGTGATGCATGCCTGTAATCCTAACTGCCCACTGAAGTAATGTTGCACCCTTCCCCCATGGGGGTTCTGCTGACTGCTTGTTACTAGAAGCTTTTAGCTAAACACTTCTCGCCCCCTCCTCCCAGTAAGGCCTGCATGCAAGTTCCTGTTTTCCATCCATCCTTTGTCTAAATGCTAATTCCTGTTTGTGGCCCACCCTTTGCCCAGAGGGACCTGGGAAGTAGGCTTCTGACCTTGGTGATTTTCCACCATACCTGCCTTTGGTATTTAAGGCTCCATCCTTGTAATAATAAACACCATTCTCCTTGTAAGAATGAGCCGCTGTCATTGTCTTTATTTACATCCTTAGCCCTTTGCCTCGGATCTTTGTGAAGTAAGATAGCATCGTAGCCACAAACATCACCGGCAGCTCTCTACAAAGTAAAAGAATTGTGAGTTCAAGTATAGCAGGGTCCTGTCTCCAAAGACCAAATAAAAGGGAGAGAGTTCAAAGTTCTCAAAGACACATGACCTTTTAACAGTGCAAATGTTACTGTTGCCCAAACAGCAGTGTTTATATTCCACTTGTAAGGGTAATGCTTAACACTTGTGTGTGAAATCCACAAGCCACAGTTTTCACATGATGGCAAAAAAGGATTTACATTTAAAATCAAAAGAAAAAGCAGACTTTTAAGACAAAGTAGTTGAAAATATCCCATTTTACTGTAGTCTACTACCAATACCCCTGATTTCATGTACCACTTGGCTGGGCCATGTGCCAGTTGTTTGGTCCAACTATATAGATCCTGCTATTAAGGTGTTTTGTAGATACAATCAATACTTGTGGATGACTGCCCCCACAATGGGCTGGGTCTCATCCCATCAATTAAAGGACTTCTGAGACAAATCGGAGGTCTCTAAGGGATGAAGAATGTTCCTCCTGACAACCACCTTAGGTATGGCTACAGCATTGTCCTAGGTTTCTATTGTGTGGTAAAACACAATGACTGAAAGCAACTTGGGAAGGAATGGGTTTATTTCATCTCACAGCTTGTAGTCCATTGTGGTGCTTTGAATGAGAATGGCCCCATAGGCTCATATGTTTAAATGTCTGTTCCCCAGTTACTGGAACTGTTTGAGAAGGATTAGGCGGTATCAACTTGTTGGAGGAGGTGTTTCATTGGGGGTAGGCTTTGAGGTTTCAAAAGTCCACACCAAATTCTCTCTCTCTCTCTCTCTCTCTCTCTCTCTCTCTCTCTCTCTCTGTCTGTCTGTCTGTCTGTCTCTGCTAGTTGCCTGTGGATCAAGACGTAAAGCTCTCAGCTACTTCTCCAACTCCACGCTTACCTGTGTGCTGCCATGACCCCACCATGATGATATGGACTAAGCCTCTGAAACTATAAGCAAGCCTCCAGTTAAATGCTTTCTTTTATAAGAGTTGCCTTAGTCATGGTGTCTCTTTATAGCAATAGAACAGTGACTAGGACATGCATCATCCTGGGTAATCAGGGTAAGACCTCAAGGAAGGAACAGAAACCTAGAGGCGAAAACTGATCCAAAGGCCATGGAGAAGTACTGCTTACTGGTTTGTTCCCTGCTATTTGTTCAGTCAGCTTTCTTATAAGACTTGGGACCACCAGTCCAGGGGCAGGGGGACACCACCCACAGTGGGCTATGCCCTCCCACATTAATCACTAATTAGGACAATGTCCTACAGGCTTGCCGACAGGCCATCTCTTATGAAGGCATTTTCTCAGTTGAGAGTCCTTCTTCCCAAATGACCACAGCTTGTGTCAAGCTGTCATAAAACTAGCCAGCACACACATCTGCCTTCCTAGACCTGCCGATTGACCTTGGGCACTCGATTTCCCCAGCCCTGCAATTACATCACTAGTGCCTTGTGACAAATCCCTCCACTTATACATTCATACAATTAATTTTGTATCTCTAGAGAAGCCTAATTAGGGTATCATTTTCAAAACTATAAAGGAAGAAATTAGGTCCCCCCCAAATACATAAACAAAATTCAGTGGGGGTATGTACTCATTCTGTGAGCAAAAGAAAAATGAAAAAGAAAACACACCATCATAGCAAGACCACCACGTAATGAAAGACCCCCGCCGCACTCCTGTAACTGCGCCCTTTCTAAGAGCACGAATTTCAAAAACTGTGGCATCACCAAGACGAGTACCCTATCGGCTGTGCTCTCACCTTCTACCTCATTTTCATATCAGACCTGTCGGACCTGATTGAGAGCTGCACTTGCAAGGTCTGCAGGATGCAGGACTTCATATGCAAATAAAGTAAGCCAAGTAAGCCGTGTAACCAAAACTAACCAATCACTCTGCTTCTGTGAGCCTGCTTCTGCCTCCCCAAACCCCATATAAACTGTACTGAATCCAGCCCGGTATGCTCAGCCTCCTGAAGTGCTACAGCATCTGCAGGCACCTGTGTGAGCAATAAAGAACCCTCTTGCTGTTGCATCCAGAGGCTCTGTCTCGATCTTTGGGCGAGGGTCTCCTGCCTGGAAGATTCCCTTTGGGGGTCTTTCAATATCTTGAATCACCCAGGAGTTTTTCTAATCTATTAGACAAGGTGCTAGCTTTGAGGCTGCCCGCTAGCAGATCCCACTAAAACTATCCAAATGTCTTCTGGGGATTCTGGAGTAAAATCAACTGGCTTGGCAAACATTTATGTGCACTGCCCCAGGAGAGGACATCTCAGCCCTTCCTGCCACCACCATCAGCTCTACTTATCGAACACCATCATCATCCATTGATCTGCCCATTGGGGATGCCAATTCCTTGTATGGCTTAGGTCCCTGACTAGGAGCTAGGAAGAATCGATGGGGTCAGGTAGGGTGTGTGCACTCTGATGGAGGGGCACCAACTGGGGCAATAACCTGGAACCTCTGGGGGTTTTGTTATGTAGAGCACAGGGGGAGAGGTAGCTAGTCTCAGCAGAGGTGTCTGTAGGTGCAGTCTGAACATCTGGGAGGAAGAAGCTGCAGACGCCAGATCTTGTACGCACTGGCCAATCATTTCTCAACACTTGTCCTTGGATCAGAGGAAGGCTTTGCCATTCTGAGCCTGTTCCACCTAGGAAAGTTGTGCCCATTTCTCATGGATGTGACCAACTGGTCTTTGATACAGCTGTGCCCATGTCAACCATATATATGCACTCAGGACGTCACGTTCGGCTCTTTACAAGAAAGGAAACTCCTGCTAGGCAGGAGGCTTTGATGGGAACTGTCACTTCTCACTGACCCCACCTTTGACCACAGTCATAGCCCAGGATATAATCTCCAGCTGGCTGGTCCCACCCACAGTTTGGGCTATCTTTCTCAGGACTTTCTCACAGGAACCAGAGGAAAAAGTCAGCTCCTCTTAATGACCACGATGGAGTGATGTGAGCCGTGGGTCTATGCCTATGCATGGAGTGGGGGCCCTGTGGGGGCCCCTGAGAGTGAGAGGAAGAATTGGGTCCCCAGCCCAAGATCACCTGAGCCCCTGGCCAGCTCAGCTACCCTTCCTATGGGAAACCACTGTTGCCTCTCTTGCCAGAAGTAATTGGAGCTTTGTCTCCTGTGGTTGACACTAGAGCCTCTCCAGTTGCATTAAAGTCTCAGAGGCTAAACAGTCCTCAGAGCCCCGCTGTAACTCAGAATGGCCATGATGCCTTTGACATCTCAGCACTTGGGGTGGAAAATGAGCAGATTGCCCACATGCGCTGTTCTGGAAATCACCCTGTCTGCCCCAGGCTCAGAAGCAGTCTTGCGAACCAGAGAACTTGGAAAAGCGTTAATTCCTTGAAGAGCAAAGCCCTGCCTGGATTAAAGCATTTTTCTAATGTGATGGGATCCCGGCAACTCTCACTGAAGACAGGAAGCCCTGAGGGCACATACAAATTTCCTGCAGCTGCTGTCACAAAGTGCCACAGTCAGATGGGTTCACAGCAGCAGAAGTGTATCCCCTTCGCAGTCCCGGAGGCTGACCGCTGAGAGCACTGTGTGGGCGGAGCCTCAGCCTCCTAAGTTTCTGGGGAAGGATTTTTGTCCTCTTGAGGCTCCTGGTGGCTCCAGGCCATTAACCTCAGGTGGCATCTTCCCAGATCTCTCCCTCTGTCCTCACACAGCCTCTTTATTGGGTGTCTGTCATCCCATGCCCTCTCCTCTCACCCCTACTTCTTATAAGGATACTAGCCTGACTGAAATGGGGCCCGCCCTACTCCAAAATGGTCTCCTCTCGTTAATTGCCCATAAAGAGGTTATATCATAAGGAACTGGGGGATCAGGACTAGGGCATAGATTGGGGTGGGGAGGCGCAGCTCAGTTCCTTAATAGATGGTTCATTCATTCTAAGACATTTCACTAACAAGTGTTTATCAGAGCAAGTGTTCTCCTGGTCAGACACTAAAGTCAGCCACTTTCTGCCTCAAGCCACGTTAGCATCAGTGGACCTTTGTGAAGAAGACATTAAGCACAGAATGAGACACGGATTTCATGCAAATCCTTGGATGAGAGTACTGGTTGCATCTCAGGGGTCACCCAGGGAAGGTCATATTCCCACCTTTCACCTCAGAGACAGGGCAACACTGACAGACCTGGGCAGGATCAGGCCAGTATTCTGCTTTGCTCTCAGCATCACATAAAACCAATTTAGAAGTTGGGCTGCCTCCCCACTGAATGATGGACACGGGGACACAATAGGTCGCCATCTTGCATCAATCGAGCCTTGCCGTGGGATGGCTGCACCTAACTTTCCTTTCTGCAATAGGTCAAGCCCTGCTAGGTTTGTTAGATGACAACAGAGAAGGCAGGAGAGCTGGTCTCAGGGCTGGGCCGACAGCCCTGCAGAGTCTCAAAACCCTCCCTGGGATTAGTGTCTGAGCAGTAGTTCTGGTCCCTTGTGAGTTGGAAGCAATGAACTTCAGACTAGGCTTCCCAATGACAAGGAGTGCATGGAGCATGAGGAGACCCAGGCTGGAGCAGCAGAGCCTGCAGGCAGCCAATCTCACTGAGATGCCCTAGCCCAGCGCTGGTCCTGCAGCTTGCACGGAACTCTTTTTGTTCGGGATCCCATAAACCTCAGTGCCTCTGCTTTGGGGTAACCCAGACACACCCTCCTGACCTTCATTCCTATAAAGCAGATTTGTCCTAGGAGAGCTGCCCTAGATGAGGACCTCATATGTCCAGGACTAACCTCCTCTGTCCATGACGGGTCCCCACAGCACCTGCCCTACCGAGCACAGGAACCACGGAGACGTCAGGAGTAATGTATTTCCACTTGTTTCCCAGTTGTACAGTTTAGCTGAACTGAGTTAACTAAAATGGATTTAGTTAACTAAGTAGACAGATTGTGACTTTAATGATTTCAAGAGAAACTGAAAGGAAGCTTCCCTTTGTCCTCCCTGCCCCCAATTCCTTGTCCTTACA